ATGTGGCGCGAACATGCAGGTGCGGAGATGGGCGACGTGATGTAGATCGATTAATATCCAGCCTGATCCTTTAGATGCGGGCATCACAAACGGCTAAGACTGATGCGTCTATAGTAAAGTTGGGCGTAAGGTAGCGATAACGTTCCATGTGTTTCGTTGATCATCATGACCATCCGTTTGAACTTCGCCGGCGCAAGGGTAGTGGTATTCGTGGACGCGCTTCCAAATCTTGTACTCGTTTGGGATTAGAGAGTCCGACTTTTCGTATCTGAGCGAGTCTGTGATGTGAACGAAGGTCAAACAAATATTACGGTCCGCAACAGTGATCGGATACGATACCTTCTTAGGCCAGCCCATGCTACGAAAAGTGCAACAGCCGACGAGAGTGTGGACATCGCCATGAAGGCATAGGGCATCTCCTCCATGTGACTTTTCAACTGGATCGGGGAAGAGCGTCAATACGGGCATCAGAGATCTTGTGACGAGTGACTGACGTTCATGCCGAATAAACCTGCGATCAGGGCTCCCGTGCCAATTCCCATCGTTCCGATGGATACCTGACATGTCTTAGCTTTACCTCACTCGCGTGGGACGAAGATGCTCACTTTAAGGTCCAATGCAAGTAGTGCGTTCCGGTTAGAGTCTAAGATGAGCTCTACAATCTCCTGAGTAGATTGGACGTTGGCCTATTGAGGACGGTAAGGTTATCGGCAAAACGATGTGCCAAAAAATCCACCTCGATGTTTTCAGCTTCATTGGCAATTTCTTCTACTTGTTTGGAGAAAAACTCAAGAAGTACCTCAAGTTCTTCGTGTTCATGCATGTTGCGCAGAACGCCATTTTTCTTGTCAGTGAGATACATAGCATCCAAATCATCATCTTGAACATAACAGGTTCGAACTTTCACGCTATTACAATAGTTGCAATGCTAACCTTGTTCGAGTACTTCTTCCAGAGCCTCTTGGACCTGGAATGAAAATGAAAAAAATCCCATGAGGAAGACAATAAAAAAAGTCGTACGAGCTTAGCGCGATTTTTGAACGCTACCAGACGTCTTGAGTAGTGCAGCAGCCGTTTGAATTTGTCATGATTGATATCGTCCTCGAGCTCCGCCAAGAGACCACCTACGAGGTTACGGATGAACACCATCTCGGCTTCTAGCGCGCTGAGAACCGAGAGAAGGATTGACTCGATTGCTCTATACAACCTCAATGCAGCTCGGAAATGATCAAAATGCGGGAAAACCTACCTGAATTCGTAAGGTGCGCCGCTACCCCGGGCCTTAAGGTTATGCTGAATGGGGTCAGTCGATACACGTAAAATGTTTGATGGAAAAAAAGACCTCGAGATGGTACAGGAACACAGAGTGAAGACGGGAATCGTTGGACCCATAAGAGTCAAACAAAACCACAGTATCGGCCTTGACTAGCGCCCGTATGTGAAGTATGTTAATCTGGACATCGATGTTATAACTAGGCCACAAACATTTACACACGGAAACGCACTAGAACAGCTCCTTTGCGAATAAGAATTGTAGGAACAAGGTTGGGTATTCGTGAATCAATCTTCCGTAAATCACGAGGCTTCATTAAAGTTTTAGTAAGGGTCCAGCCCAAATCCTGGACTGTAAACATAATCTTTCTTACGTTTAAGCGATGCTCGTTGCACAAGTCAGACCGTTTAAATTGACCTGATATGCTCTTGATATTGCCTAAAGCGACAAGTGTGGTCATGCAACGAGAGGATTGGCTGAGAAAATGACAAGGTACCCGCATGATCCAAAATAGTGCCTGTGCCTCCGTAAGCTGCAAGAAAGAGAAACGAAAAAGAGATAGTCGAATGGGAGAAAACGTACAGCGTAACATGAGATCTGTAAGTTGCCTGCCTTTCATGACTTTCTCAAGGATAGCAGCTTTGGCTATTTCCTCTTGAGTGTCAGACATTCCAGACGACTCCTGAACTTTCGGCCGAAAGAAACTCTTCCATGAGGCTAGATGAAAATGTCTGACGGATACGAGTAAGGCATTGTGAGGAATTGACCGCTGCTGAGGTGGAGAAGGAGAAGTCCAGAACGCGTGACTTTGATATCGTCTACATTGAGGAATGAGCTGTGGAGCAGAAGATGTTCGGCTCAATCGCATCACATTGCTGGTACGCACGCGCCTGAGAGTTGTATACATTCACAGACGCAAATGGAGGAGTCAAGTGCAGATTTGTGTCAAAGTCTCCAAATGGATTCGGACAAAACCGTTATAATTAATTCGCACAATAACCAAAATTACCAAATAGATATTTACTTTGAATGATAATTTGAAATTCTCCAACCTTATTTGTCACACCAAGTGTGACAATAAGCTGTGCTCAGTAGTCAGGTCCGGGGCCCCTGGTCCTCCCCCCATCTGACCCCAATATTTGACCCCGCATTCTTCCCCCAGGTCGGTACACGTTCCGCGGATATTTCACCATGAGGCTAGCGCCAGCAGCGTCGCATTAATCTGGCATGTGTAAACATTTTCGTTCCGAATTTTAACTAGTTTATCAGCTCTTTTTTAAAAATTAGCCGATCAATCTATCACGTCCACTGGACGTCTCTAGGCTTTTACGTTTTCAGTCTACTTCAGGTGATTTTAGACCTAACCAGTGGGCCCCAAGTATTCATCCAAACTCATTCTCGCCATGTGCTCTCGCCATTCTGAGCAGATACGACAAATCCACAATCAGTAATACTTACCTTGAGATGAGGCAGAACAAATCAGATGAAGATCAGGCCGCCATCTGTTGAAGTTCTTTTTCAGGATCTCTCTTCGGTCACGGATCTATTACATACCCATTCGGTTTGCTTTGCCTCACCTCTGTTTTCCTCTCTTTATTTCATGCCATGTTCTCCCTTTGATACTTCATTCCACCCCCACCCCTCCACACCCCACACCATTATGTCTGATTCCCGCAGACTTTTGGAAGCTGCAACTGCGCTTTCTCAACTTCTGCGTCAACACTCCATTGCCCACGCCTTCTATGGAAGCATTCTCACTGCCGTGCTCTCTGATAACCCACGTTGCGATGTGCGTAGACTATGTCTTTGCTGTCCACACACCCTCGTACTGACACACTTCCAGGAAATATTCTGTATTGTTGAAGGCGGCTCCACGCACCCCTTCCGTCGAGTCAGACAAGCCATTGTGGGGAGTGAGCATTTCACAACCACGCACTCTCCGTGGAGCAACCGGTAGAGGAGTCTCCTACTAGTATGGTCTTTCTTGTAACCGAGTCTGCCTAGCTTGCATGCTACGTATCGTCAGGTCATCCCAGCCATTGAGGTGAGCATCTCCTTCAATACGTTTTTAACGATGCCGTTGATAACAGCGGCTTTGAAGATTGAGATACTGCCCGCTGGCGAGCATGGACCCCGACGATTGGATGGTTCTACTATCATGCAATTACAAGGCATCCCTTTCTTGACGCTGTCCGAGTTTGTTCGGGCAAAGCTAAAGGCTTGGACAATGTAGGTAATTACTATCCCGCAGTCTGGTAGATCAACTCATTATCCACAGACGCGGCTCAGACCGTGATGCTCAAGACATCATTTACGCATTATGCCGCTACTGGAATCGATTGGATATCAATCGCGTTCCTGAGCAAGATATGAACCACTTCGTAACTGCCCATCGCACTGCGGCCCTATCCTGGGCAGCGCTGAAAAGAAAATATGGTTTATGAAAGCGCTGAAAGCCATGAGGCAGGGTGGGGTGCCTATCGGATTGATACTGATTGCGAAGCTGATCCAAAGGGGTAGGGACTTTCCGCTCAGAAGCGTAGCGTCTTGTAATATATCTTTGGAATTGCAGATGCGCAATTCCACGCGGCTATGCCGCTGAGTCCATTCTGTTCTGGGGAACTATATCACGGCTGCACAATTTTCAGGGCCTCTGGCTCTCGTAAGTCTGGTTCGTACATGATATCATACTATGAATCATACACACGACATATGCCATGATTGTGGTACGGTGGCTCTCGGCAAGTAAGGGGAGTTTCGCTGGTGACAGCAGCGTGTCTTAACCAATCTAGTCATGAAATGGCGTCATGTCAATTCAGGGTAGGGAACGCCTATGAATTCCTCGGGGAGCGGAGTAGATATTCAGGAGATAAAATTGTATAGGCTCTGCGGCGATTCCAAGGTTCGTATATTTGAATTTCTGCTCGTCGGTGGTTGCTGAAGCTGGGGATCACAGCGAAGCAGTGGATCACTCCGGCCAATGCTGTTAGCTTCTCACGTTATCACATAGATGATCTCTGGAAGAGTGCACATTGACCTGGGCCAATAGCCCGACACACCGTCTGCCACGAAGTCAATAGTGATGTAGCAAAATCGCGGAGATTTGAGGACTTTCGACAGTGTGGATCACCAGGGAGCAGGTAATCGGGCTTCGCGGTTCAAGTCTGTCCAAGCCGAATAACGTCCAGTCTGGAACTTTGTGAGTATCGTCCGTCTCTCACGCAATCAGCCGATACCAATCGGCTGATTTGTGTTGTGGAATGAATGTGATTAAGTAGTGCCAGTTCTTGTGGGCCTGGAACGGAGAAGGGATGAATCCGACCAAACCCGATCTTCGTGTTCGATCGTTCTATCAGAAAAATGAGGACATTATCAAAGGGGATAAGACTGAAAGCTGGAGTACTGTTGACGTCTGACCGTGACAAGAAGGGGTGCGAAGCAAGAATAATCCAAACCATTCATGGCTTTTGAGCGGTAATGATCATATAGAAAACACAGGGTTTGCTTCCCTCCGATCACCATTGCTGATTAATATTGCCGGGACAAACATCCATGGAATATAGATTTTCTTACCATTAATAAGTGTATTGAGAAGACGGCGTGAACAGAAGAAAAGTATAGAAGCTCAGAACGTGAGAAACATGGTGTGACTGCATCATCGTGACGTGACTGTACCGCGCAAGACGCGTAATACGTTCGCTAGAGATCCTTGTCGTTCTCCTTCACAATGCCTACCGCCGTTCAGAAGCCTAAGACCCCTGGAGGCATCCAATCTTACTACCAGGCCAAGATCGAGGCTGCTGAACTTTTGATTAATCAGAAAACACAGAACCTGCGTCGGTTGGAGGCTCAACGGAATGCACTGAATGCACGAGGTGCGTTTGGATTGTGCTGATTTCAACGAATGCGTTCATAGGACAAAATTATAGTGCGTCTGCTACGAGAGGAACTTCAGCTCTTACACGAACCTGGAAGTTATGTTGGAGAGATTGTGAAGGTTATGGGGAAGAAGAAAGTCCTCGTCAAGGTGCAACCTGAAGGCAAATACAGTACGTGCTGGGTCTTGAATGACGCTTTATCCTGTTTCGCTCACACACTGTGCAGTAGTTGACTTCGACCCGTCGATCGAGCTGTCCCAACTTTCCGCTTCATTGCGCGTGGCTCTCCGTTCTGACTCTTATACCATCCACAAGATATTGCCGAACAAAGTCGACCCACTTGTCTCCCTCATGATGGTAGAAAAAGTCCCAGATAGTACGTACGAAATGGTGGGAGGTCTGGATAAGCAAATCAAGGAAATCAAGGAAGTTATCGAGTTACCCGTCAAACACCCAGAGCTCTTCGAATCTCTGGGCATTGCACAGCCCAAGGGTGTTCTTCTTTATGGACCTCCTGGGACGGGAAAGACTCTCCTCGCTCGCGCCGTCGCACACCACACCGACTGCAAATTCATTCGTGTTTCAGGCTCCGAACTTGTTCAGAAGTACATCGGTGAAGGAAGCAGAATGGTTCGGGAGCTATTCGTCATGGCCAGGGAGCATGCACCTAGTATCATATTTATGGACGAAATTGATTCTATCGGCAGTTCGCGAGGAGACAGTGGTTCAGGAGGCGGCGATTCGGAAGTACAGCGCACAATGCTGGAGCTTCTCAATCAGTTAGATGGTTTCGAGGCTACAAAGAACATCAAGGTTATCATGGCTACGAATCGTATAGGTTTGTGGGTCCTCATAAGGCACCAGGACTTTCTGATGGCACCACCATAGATATATTGGATTCTGCACTTCTTCGTCCGGGACGTATTGACCGAAAGATCGAATTCCCTCCCCCTGGCCCAGAAGCTCGTGTCAGCATTCTTAAAATCCACTCTCGCAAGGTGAGATGTCTGCATTCTGTATCTCGCGGGCGCATCCTTAGAACATGGTTGTTCTTAGATGTCACTGCAACGCGGTATTGACCTCAAAGCACTCGCCGAGAAAATGGGCCAGTGCTCAGGCGCCGAAGTGCGCGGTATATGTACAGAAGCAGGTGCGTACGTTGATGGTCTTTATCTTCGCGTTTGTTGATCAAGGACGCAGGTATGTACGCATTGCGAGAGCGGCGGCAACATGTTACGCAGGAAGATTTTGAGTTCGCTATTGCAAAGGTGCTCAAAAAGAACCAGGAGGGTAATACGTCGGTCAATAAGTTGTTCTCATGAATGTATTGGGCGTGGTATCTGCATGATCCTTTTTTCCATCCATGCTACTTGACGGACTGTTGAGACGCGGAAGCGGCACGCAGTTGGAGTCAATTGGTGATCGCAATTGCGTGCCATCAGCCGGCCATCCAACCACCGTGTCGTCTCGGTACAACTATATTTGCTGACGGATCGTTGGTTCTTGCCAAGACATAGATCGATTCATGGTCTTATTGATCAACGGCACGATCATGGATTGTATGCTCTGAAGATGACATCTTGGAGCCTATGTTCTGGGGTTGGACGAAATGCCCAATTCAGCAGACCCAAGTGCATGTGGCAGTGTGCGACTGGTGGATGTATAAGTTTCACTTTGCACTCAAACTCGAGTGCCGGTCTGTCCGGATTCGTTGATGCTGACCAGTGTATAGTTCACACCCGTACACTCATCATTCTTTCAAATTCCATGATCTCCTTCGCTGTGTGTCTGGTCACACTGTAGCTATTCTGGAATCTATTACGGTTATTACCACATCATATATTTCGATCCTATAAATTTGAAAATCTTACAATGGTAATAACAACAAATAATTTTCGCATTTGGAAAACCAACCTGATACACATAGTCCACCGTACATGGCCAGTCTCAACTGGATCGCTCCTGAAACTTTCGAGTTCAACGGCCTCTGCAAATTTCCATCACTGCGCTTTTCTGCCAACATACATGCAGATACTCATCAAACGTCCTCGCCGGCCGCTCAAGGTTGTCTTAGTACAGGCGTCACACTATCCAAGATGTTCGAACCCCCAAGCATAACAGCTCTTGCCTACCTATCCACCGTCACTTTTCCCCACAATATCAGCCAGCACATTGCCCGCATCCATCCCATCCGGCCATCTGTCTTATTCCCCGCAACAGCATGCCCAATAACTACCCCAGTGCCCATCATCCCAAATGGCAGCAGCATGCGGCGGGAGGTGGCGATTCGGAAGTACAGCGTACGATGCTGGAGCTTCTCAATCAATTGTATGGTTTCGAGTCTACAAACATGAAGGTTATCAAGGCTATGGATCGTACAGGTGTATAGATTTGTGGGACCTCACAAAGCATCAGTGACTTTTCGAAGGTGCCGCCGTAGATATATTGGATTGCGCATTTCTTCGTCTGGACTCTGGGACGTATTGACCGAAAGATCGAATTCTCTCCCCCTGGCCCAGAAGCTGTGACAGCATTCTTAAAATCCACTCTGCCAAGGTGAGATGTCTGCATTCTGTATCTCGCGGGCGCATCCTTAGAACATAGTTATTCTTAGATATCACTGCAACGCGGTATCGACCTCAAAGCACTCGCCGAGAAAATGGGCCGGTGCTCAGGCGCCGAAGCGCGTGGTATATGTACAGAAGCAGGTGCTTACGTTGGTGGTCTTTATCTTCATGTTTATTGACCAAGCACACAGGTATGTACGCGCTGCGGGAGTGGCGACAACATGTCACGCAGGAAGACTTTGAGTTCGCTATTGCGAAGGTACTCAAAAAGAACCAGGAGAGTTATACATTGGTCAACAAGTTGTTCTCATGAATGTATTGCGCTTGGTATTTGCATGATCCTTTTTCCCATCCGTGCGGACTCGGAACCGACACGCGGTTGGAGTCAATTGGTGATCGACTATTGCGTGCCATCAGCCGGTCATCCAGCCACCGTGTCGTCTCGGTACAACTATATTTGCTAACGGTTGGTTCTCGCTACGACACAGGTCAATTCATGGCCTCATTGATCAACATCAACGGCACGATCATGGATTGTATGGTCTTAAGATGAAGCGCAGACATTTTGGAGCCTATGTTCACATGTTCTGGTATCAACCGGTTATAGGGACGAGATGCCGAGTTCAGATCCAAGTGCATGTGTCATTGTGTGACCGTCTTTGAATCGGGACGTATACCTAGACAATTTGCATGAGACTGACTACGTATTTCGACGAACATCATCCACCAGCATTCAGAAATTTGCATTGGACTAGCTGCTCTCGTATCTCACAATTTTAGTATCAGCTACTGGGATATCTACAGATTTCTGTCATCACGGTTTTCTGCTAATAGCATACAGATACTCATCAAACGTTCTCACCAGCCACTCAATCGGTTGCCTTACAGGTGTCACACTATCAAACATGCTCGAACCCCCAAGCGTCCCAGTTCTTGCAAACCCATCCACCATCACGTTCCCCCACAACATCAGCCAGCACATTGTCCACACCCATCCCATCCAGCCACCTGTCTTATTCCCCGAAACAACACGCTCGATGACCACCCCAGTGCCCATCATTCCAAATGGCAGCATCATGCGCCACATCTCCGAGGATGGGTCGATGGGGAGTAGTACGAGGTGGTGAAGAAACCCAGAGACAAGAAACACGCCCATGACGCCGCCGACACGCCCAAAGAGTAGATAAAGTGGGTTTCCCCCGAGGAAAATGAATATCTGACGGAACCACTGATGCCAGCGACGGCTCCAGAATTCTCTGACAGAGGTGGCGCGCCAGGGAGAGTCGAATGAGGGGGGGCATTGGTCTGGATGTTGCCTGAATATCAATACGCAGATGACTACGGTGATCTCGTAACCAGCTTGGAGTAATGAGTAGATGTTGAATGAGTATAGCGTCGCGATGATGCTCGAGCGTAAATAACGAAGGTGTGGGGGAAGTGAGTCGTCGAAGATGGTACCACCATCAACAGATCCAAATGTATCTGGAGAGAAAGACTTCACGGCAGAGTGAATCACGCCCCCAACAAATAAGTGCTTTAGACCAGAGACTAGGACGGATGTGGCAAAGGCCAATCGTGAGGATGTAGGATGTGTCTCAGGCGGGATGTACAGTCCCTGCGACCAGTCCCAGCCGCAGCCTCGAAGGTTGCAGATCAAATCAATTGTGTCGAGCACTAAATTTGGCTTTGACACGTCGGTTGACGATCGGCGAGCCGTACGAACAAAAGGTTTCGTCTGCACCGTCCATTCAAGGGTACGTGCTGCAATAAGAAACATGGATAGCTGAGAGATAAGTTGAACGCTGTGGAAATTAATGCGAATACAGGAACTCACTTGCAGCTGTACATTCAAAAAGGCAAGTTCCGGTTGCTCCATGCATATGTCTAGCGATGTCGCCGCACGAAATGCAAGGATCGCGGTGATGGGCCACAACGCAATGCGGACTGGCTGCGTTCCGGGCAGCAGAACAAGAAGAGCTGTAGCGAAGCTACACGCGAGTGGTGGAAAGACTCGAGAAGCGAAGGTTTCAGTTGTGAGTAGTACCTTAGTTGTGGAGAGACGCAGGCCGTCCAGCAAGGTCAGCATTGTGGCCATTGATCTATAGAGTATGCGGGGATCCGGAGTCAAGGTTCAAACGCTTATAAGTATGTCCAATGTAAGTCCCCCGTGAATCAAATCATCATCACGTACGTGCCATGGAGTACACGCACATGTATGTGCCAATTGGTCGATCGGGAAGATTTCTCCAAGTCAGCGCCATCGCATCGATGGGCGTGGCAGAGACTGATAGGTCAACGCAGTAACCGCGACAGCGAGGATAATTGCAAAGCAAAAACAAATTGTGTGATATGGGTGAGTAAGAAGATACCTATATGTTCTTGCGTACGTGGTTGTACCTGCAAACAAAGATGCATACTATCTGCAAGGCCAGCTGGCAAGGTCAGGCTATCAATTGAAAATTCGGTGTGAACATTCCGAGTCATGTTTTCAAATTCCAATCACTAGCAGCCGTCGACTCCATATAGTCGAGAATGTCGGGGATTTGGCCAGTCTGGGACAAAGTACGGGATATCGGCACCTCCTCGGAGGTCACTGACGTTCGTTTCAAGCAGCTCGGAACTAGCGAGGCGGGCCAGTCTTCTGCAGCGCCTCCTTCAAAGCGTTGTATTTTTGACTCGGGAGGGGGGGAGGGGCGCTGGTTGTACGGTAAGCCCTCCCGAGCATCGGAAGAGGCGAAGGCAATGCACCAAAAGGTTTTCCCCTTGAGAGTCTGCACTAGACGAAGTTTCGTGTAAGTGTGAACGCCTGTCTTTAACCTAACATCTCTCGAAGCCATGATAATGATATCTCATTATTGAAGCTTGAAAAAGTATAGCATTAGGACACAGAGAGAAATGCATGTACTTTGGTTTCACAATGATTAGTGATGAAATTTAAAGTTGGACTAAAGGAAGTGTCTCAGCGTTAGGAGAAGAACCGCTGAGGCACAAACAAGTGACTTATAAAGTAAAATACGTAAAAGGTTCCGCGGTGACAAACAAAGAGAAAGACGAGCGAGGTGGCGATGGCCAGAGTCGACAGCTGGTTGGAAACGCGAACTTGACCATATCTGGGGTGTGACGAGACTATGTACCCAGATTTGTTGATGGTGTTTCTGGCTAGTATATGTGTAAGTCGGCTTTCTTTCATATGTATGATCAGATACTTAGCAGCGAAAATAAGACTACATTCTAACAAGCACTGCAACAATGCTAGGATGTCTGTTGCGGCTCTCCTATCAATCGTTCGAGGATGCTAACCCTAGTGCTTGTGCTCCCCACTGCTAGATAGAGCTTGCTGTGACCCATTTCAAGCTGAACGAGCTCAATCCTACCTCATTGCTGGTAGAAGTTATGGCGCACATCTGGGACACCCGGAGATTCATCATTCTACCAACAGCTCCTCAGGTAGATGCCCACCACGTTCCTTGACCTTGAGCCCATGTCGATATTCCAGTGGCAACATGTACAGTTAAATTCGACGGAGATGACTCTAGTTTGATAAAGCTTGAATGACTTGGACCTAAATCTGTTGTCTTCGACACTGAGGAGGCATGCTGGAGCATACAGACGATTTTCAGACAATTTGGGTAGGACTGACTACGTATTTCGATGGAAGTCATCCACTAGCATTCAGAAATTTGCATTGGACTAACTGCTCTCGTATCTCACAATTTTAGTATCAGCGACTGGGATATCTACAGATGTCTGTCATCACGGGTTTCTGCTAATAGCATGCAGATACTCATCAAATGTCCACACCAGCCGCTCAATCGGTTGCCTTACACGCGTCACATTATCAAACGTGCCCGGACCCCCAAGCAAGCCAGCTCTTGCCCACCCATCTACCATCACGTTCCCCCACAACAGCAGCCAGCACATTGTCCACATCCATCCTATCCAGCCACCTGTCTTATTCCCCGAAACAGCACGCTCAATGATCATCCCAGTTCCCATCATTCCAAATGGCAGCACTATGCGCCACATCTCCGAGGACGGGTCGATGGGGAGTACTTGGAGGTGGTGAAGAAACCCAGAGACGAGGAACGCGCCCATGACGCCCCCGACACGCCCAAAGAGTAGATAAAGTGGGTTTCCCCCGAGGAAAATGAATATCCGACGGAACCACTGATGCCAGCGACGGCTCCAGAATTCTCTGACAGAGGTGGCGCGCCAGGGAGAATCGAACAAGGGGGGGCATTGGTCTGGATGTTGCCTGAATATCAATACGCAGATGACTACGGTGATCTCGTAACCAACATGGAGTAATGAGTAGATGTTGAATGCGTATAGCGTCGCGATGATGCTCGATCGGAAATAACGGAGGTGTGGGGGAAGTGAGTCGTCGAAGATGGTACCACCATCAAGAGATCCGAATGTATCTGGAGAGAAAGACTTCACGGCAGAGTGAATCACGCCACAAAGAAATAAGTGCTTTAGACCAGAGACTAGGACGGATGTGGCAAAGGCCAATCGTGAGGATGTAGGATGTGTCTCAGGCGGGATGTACAGTCCCTGCGACCAGTCCCAGCCGCAGCCTCGAAGGTTGCATATCAAATCAATTGTGTCGAGCACTAAATTTGGCTTTGACACGTCGGTTGACGATCGGCGAGCCGTACGAACAAAAGGTTTCGTCTGCACCGTCCATTCAAGGGTACGTGCTGCAATAAGAAACATGCATATCTGAGAGATAGATTGAACGCTGTGGCAATCAATGCGAATACAGGAACTCACTCGCAGCTGCATATTCAAAAAGGTGAGTTCCGGTTGCTCCATGGACGTGTCTAGCGATGTCGCCGCGCGAAATGCAAGGATCGCGGTGATGGGCCACAACGCAATGCGGACTGGCTGCGTTCCGGGCAGCAGAACAAGAAAAGCTGTAGCGAAGCTACACGCGAGTGGTGGAAGGACTCGAGAAGCGAAGGTCTCGGTTGTGAGTAGTACCTTAGTTGTGGGGAGACGCAGGCCGTCCAGCAAGGTCAGCATTGTGGCCGTTGATCTATAGAGTATGCGGGAATCAAGGTTCAAAGGTTTATAAGGCCCAATGTAAAGCCCCCGTAAATCAAATCATCATCATGTACGTGCCATAGAGTACACGCACATGTATGTGCCAATTGGTCGATCGGGGACATTTCTCCGAGTCAGCGCCGTCGCATCGATGGGCGTGGCAGAGACTGATGGGTCAACGCAGCAACCGCGACAGCGAGGATAATTGTGTGTGATATGTATGGGTTAGTAAGAAGAATCGAAGATACTTATATATTCTTGCGTACGTGGTTGTACCTACAAACAGATGCATATTATCTGCAAGGCCAGCTGGCAA